GAATTTGCAAAGTGTTGTCTGCTGGACAGATTTGATAGGTATGTCAGTATGTGTATGCATTTTTCAGTTGATTTTTATCCAGCTGAACCAAAGGCAACAAGATGGGAATCTTGGAGAAGATTGCCGAAATTGAAAGAGAAATTGGTCGTACCCAGAAAAATAAAGGTGAGGGCATTCATGCCAATAAACGTGTCAAATTAATCGCCTTTCTCTCATGTGATGTTTTATTGCTGCTCTCATGTGATTATTGCTAGCTTCATTGCTATAATCCAGTTATTATGTGTTCATAAGTTATTATCGAAGCACAGTTTTTTTTCGAGCAACTATGATAATTTGATGTGCCATGATAAAAGTGACATAAGGGACCTGACATCAAATACTTTGGACTACATGCCCATTAGTATGATGCATATGAATATACGTACGGATATTGGACGTACGCTTTCTGGCAGTATCGGGGTCAGATTATCTGACTGTTGAATGTCGTCTCCAGCGACCGAGTACCATCTGGGACTGCTAAAGGCGAAGCTCGCCAAATACCGCACGCAGCTGCTCGAGCCGCAGGGCAAAAAGGGCGAGAAGGGAGAGGGCTTCGACGTGCTCAAGTCCGGCGACGCGCGTGTGGCCCTCATCGGCTTCCCGTCAGTCGGAAAGGTGGGTATAGGATAGATCCTACTTATAGGTCTTACTATAGATCATACTAACAGATCCTACTTCCAGTCAGTCGGAAAGGTGGGTATAGCCTCCTGTATAGCATCCTTTAGAATCTCACCTAACTAGTCAGACATCACATATTCAATATCGCTTGGTATCTGATTATTGTACGGAAGCTTTGGACTTCATCTAGATGAGTCCAACGGGTAGTAAGGACCCGCACAATGTCATTTCGTTCACTTACCTCATGTCTTGGCATCCGTCTGGTAAACTCTTCCATCGTCATTGTCTCGCTGACTTGTTTGGCATTCTCTGCCACAAGCGACGGGACTGCGAGCCTCCGTCTCAGTCTGTTCATTGCCCAATCGACCTTGTTGATCCGCCATGACCTTCACTACTCTTTCTCCCATACAGTCAACGCTGCTGAGCACGCTGACCAAGACGCAGTCTGAGTGCGCCAGCTACGAGTTCACCACACTCACCTGCATCCCGGGTGTCATCGACTACAACGGCGCCAACATCCAGCTGCTCGACCTGCCCGGTATCATCGAGGGCGCCGCGCAGGGAAAGGGACGCGGTCGCCAGGTGAGTGGCCCGGCCTGGAAACGCTCAGTGGGCACGAGCTGGGGCTTATCAGTCATGGCGACCCCGAACCCGGAACGGTGGCTAGTCAGAGACCTCGAGTTGTGGCCGGTCAGTGGCTGCTGACAAGTCAAGGGGTGGGACTTGTTACCTCGAGGCTCGACCTGTGTACGATCAGTGATCCCGAATTGTGACTGGCCAGTGACCGCTAATTAATTGTGATGCCAAGTTTAAGTGACTGAAGTAGTTGTCGCTAGTCATTCATGGCCATGAGGATTGATCTGTAGGCTGTGGCTGGTCGTCATTGGCCGCGAACCCAAATCGGTCAGTGACAGTGACCCTGGAGTATGACCGTTCGTTGACCCCAGTCCTGTGACCGATCACGATCTATAACCACAAACTGTGACAGGTCAGCGGGCCCGGGGCCACCGCTGATCGTGTAGCTATGTGTGGGTGCCGCGCCAGTGCGCTTCTGCCCGTTTTCTCTCTGTGGCGTCTCCTAACCCCTTCCCACCTCTCCCCGTCTAGGTGATAGCCGTGGCGCGGACCGCCGACCTCGTCATCATCATGCTGGACGCCACCAAGTCGGAGGTGCAGCGGGAGCTCCTGGAGAAGGAGCTTGAGGCGGTCGGGATACGGCTCAACAAACCCAAGCCGGGTATCTACTACAAACAGAAAAAGGCCGGCGGTATCCACTTCAACTCGACGTGCGCGCTCACCAAAGTCGACGAGAAGCTTGTGCAGCTCATCCTACACGAGTACAAAATATTCAATGCTGAGGTAAATTTTCGAAGTTTATCGTTTCTAAGATATAAGAGAATGTAGCATGTCCTATGTGCTGTTAGATATTTTTTTGCGGAGTTATTCATTTACTCATCTAAGTTCAACTGATGGTCAAGTCATTATCCATTACCTAGGTAGGCTGCTGTGCTGACTGGGTTTGTTTCGATGCGTTATGGAGGAATGTCTCGTAACGGAAAGCCCCAGTGCTGGTCTACGGTGAGTATATCCGCTGATTGCTGTTGACCAGTGTTCGTCAGCCAATTGTACCTCTGGATCGTCCCTCTCCGGTCATATAACTGCCCCACCGGCCGGTTCCTGTCACCATTTACTGACAAATCGTTCACGTACCCTTACCCCTGCCGCCGGCCAGGTGATTTTCCGTGAGGACGCCACGGCCGACCAGCTGATTGACACCATCTCCGACAACCGGGTCCACCTGCCCTGCCTCTACGTCTACAACAAGATCGACCAGATCAGCATCGAGGAGGTGGACCGACTGGCGCGGCAGCCCAACTCGGTGGTTGTCAGGTGGGTCCCGTAGTCACAGTTCTGCGGATCTTCAGTGATTAACTCAGGTTAACTCTGATTAACAGTGATTAACTCGAGTTTTCTGCCGCCGTGGGGCAGAGATGATAGGAGTTGTGACTTGTGAGCCGCTCATGGGGTAGCTAAATGGGAGTTGTCCACCTGATCAGCGTTGACGATCTTCTTCCTAGATGTGTGTTGTGGACGATAATGGTGCAAGTTAATTCATTGCCATTGTATACTATACCTGCACCGTGCACGACGAATATGGTTGTGCGTCTGGCTCAACGCCCTAGTGTCGAAATTCGTCACTGTTACTTACAAACGTGGGGATAGGTGGCGCTAGTGACAAACGCCTGAAGATAGACTGCACCGCATAGCATAGTGTTCTCACCGACGACAAATGCGGGCAGGTGCTTTTGGGTAATAGCCATTGCTTTTGCCTTTGTATGTGTGATGCGAGACAGATCACAAAGAGAATATGTCTAGTGTCTAATGTCTATTCATTTCTCGTTACTGGAAACGTTGCGATGATGGTTTGGGCGAACTTGGCCATGCGAGTGACTTGAACCAAATCTCAGCTGTGCTGAAACAAATCGTAGGACCTTACGATGCCATTTAGGTACTCTTGCATTTTCGAATGTTCCGGTAAACTAACATTGTCGTTTCTTCTCACACTAATTGACCATATTTTAGTGTCGACGATGAAGACTCCAATTCACCGCTGCTACCTGCCCCTCTCCCCTTTCTGCAGTTGTAACATGAAGCTGAACCTAGACTACCTGCTGTTCACCATGTGGGAAATGCTGGCGCTGATCCGCATCTACACCAAGAAGCCCGGCAAGCACCCGGACTTTGGCGACGCCATCATCATGCGGCGAGGCAGCACTGTGGAGCACGTCTGCCACTCCATTCACAGGAGTATAGTGGCCGTCTTCAAATACGCGCTCGTCTGGGTAAGGCGGGTGGCTGGCAGCTTGTTAACTTTTATGGACTTGTCAACTGGGAACAAATTGTCCTCCAGTCTCATACTGCATCAGTTTTGAACGACTATCTTATTCCTGCCTTATTTGTATTGCCCGCCCAGTCTCAGAATCTCAGTTTTAAGCACAGCACTTCTCCTTAAATTATTATTCCCATTTCTTCGCACGTACAATCAAAGCAACGGATTACCATCATTACGCTGCTCGTTTCCGCTTTATGATTTCTCTGACCGCATCTCTTGCCCGTTATGCGGGACTTGTGAATCGTGATGTCTTTCACCCTTTCCCCGCCCTCCCTCCAGTCTCCTCCGTCCGATAACCCTGTATTTCTCCCCACAGGGCCGGAGCACCAAGTACAGTCCCCAGCGGGTCGGTCTGGCGCACGTCGTTGAAGACGAGGATGTCATTCAGGTGGTCAAGAAGTGAGAGGGCACGGGGGACAGAGGAAGAAGGAGGGAGGCAGAGGGGCTCGGGGACGGGGCGCCGGGGGAAAGCGGCGGGTTCGGCGTGTGATGGGACCGGTCCGGTCTGCACTGTCTGCTGTGGGTATGTGAGTCTGTGAGTTTGTATTTGACTGGCAGTGATGGTGGAGTGTACGCAATCAATGAGTGCAGTCACGTATCTGGTGTGGAAGCCTGACCCCGCCGTGTGGCTCCGCGCTGCGGCGCCCCGTCCTTGGCCGTCCCCGGTGACAATATCGGCCAGCGCCCGGGCGTCGGTCGCCCCGGTGACGGTCCCTGGGGGTGGGCTGCGCTCCCGTGTGGCCGAAAGGGGTGGGTGCGGTCGGCGAGACCGACCGTGTTTGTTTCTATCTGAAGTGTTATATTGTGAACTGCGGAGCGGATGTCTATAGGTCAATAAATATCCTGACCGAGCAGCTTCGGGCGTTTGAACTTGTGTTTTACTCGATCGGTAAAAATTACAAGTCATCGTATTACACAACTTTATGGTAGGTCGGTTATACCTTGATACCTTTATTTGCGAACGAAGCGCCTGTATTGTTACGAGTAAATACAAGGATTACATTGCTCAGCCTAGCCATCTATGCTTTGCGCCCGTAAGGCGCGACCGTCTATCCCTCATTAGGTACCGCTACCGCTCAGGCACAAATGGTCTTATCGAAAATAGAGTGTTTGGACATGCGTTAAAAACCATTACCCAGCCATTGGCCTTTAGTTTTGCTATATTGCTGATTTGTCAGTTGGTATTTGTTAGACAATCTGAGCGCGGTTAGATTTAGAATTTGAAATTAGTGGGATATCCATTACTTACCTTTATGTTTCGGAGGAAATTTGCAATATGGTAGTTGTTCAACTATTGCGCAGGTGCGGCATATGTAAATGTTCAAAAATACTGAGATTAGTTTGCGAATGGACAGATGGATTGAAACAAAAGCTTGTATCGACATTTATCAGCAGCAAACGCTTGTCTTATGAACACTGCTTTTCCAACATCCGCGCGTGCATTGGGGCTTTTGGAGAGAGGTTGAGGGGCCTTTTGGGTTGAGGTGTTCGGCAAAATATGCAGTTATTTAACGATATATTTTGCTCATGTACGGCCTTGATATTTTGTATATGAATATGAATTTAACTTGAGGATATATTAAGATTTGTGTTTGTATCTGACAGGAGCTAGACAAGTCTAAAAAGTCGATGGAATCGATGGACATTGGACTCGACCTCCACAAGCTCGATGGAGAACGGTTACTTACAGGCTTAGTAGTCTTTATAGTTGAAGTCCAATCAAATTAAGGCGGCGTTCGATGTCTCCCGGACAGCAAAGATTCTTAGCCGTCCGGCCAATCCTGTCCAAGGTCAGCGGGGGCTCGGCTGCGGTTATGGAACAAACATGTCTGGCTGGACGGCGTAGAATCTTCGCCGTCCGTGAGACATCGAACGCGGGGTTGGTTTAAGGGATGGTTTTGTTTGACGCTAGGTTACGATGGCCTCTTTGACCCCAGACCTTGCCTGTACTTCAGCCGGAGTAAGTGCCGGAGCTAACCAGAGTAAAACCGCTGTTTCAATAGTCTGCTGACCAGGTGAGTTGACCAGGTGAGTCTTGACTATGGTATCTCTGCATTTATTCTTTGACTAAGCTGACCTGCCTATTCACCTTTCAGAGACAAGTAGGTGACCTGCATTTGAGCAGAGGTCTCCTGTCCCAAGAGCAGTAAGCATTGTTTTGGCTAAAGAACACAGTGATTTGATGAAGGTTTTGCAATGACATCCTTACAGGTGAGGATATCTACCTATCAATGCAATCTTGACATTCTTCTGTTACATGAGTATTGAGTAACCACCTATGTAATTTTTGTGTTTTATGGCAATCTGAATTTGATAGTAAGTCCTGTAGGTATGCAATAGCCAGATATTAAAATTAATCAGAATTACAATGAATCTGTTTTAAAACTTCAGTGGATTATTGAGAAATGACAGGTACTTCAGTGTTCAGTGTATACTAGCAATGTTTGTTATCCGAGTAGATGTCTGACACCTGTGTCACCAGTTTCCAGCCTTTCTTCTACTGGCTGGACTATGTTTGGCTGGTTGCGAGGATGCCTGCTACAAAGATGGGCCATGTGAGAAACAAGACACCTCCTCCTCAGCCTATAAAAGGTGAGCTGTTCTGTAATTTGTGACACTTGCCAGAAGTGTGTGTGCTGAATGTTGTCTGATTTTTTTCTTTTATGCATCCATTTAAGGCATACCTACAGACTAGCTTTTTTAGTTGATTTTTGTTCCAAAGTATTCCAGCCTGTCTTCTAAATTGATGATGGACCCTGGACCCATATTAGTCTAAGCATGAACAAATATACTGTGTCCCATAAGTAGTCAAACAATGTCATTGGTCTTATACCCAAGTATTGCATATTCTCCCTGATCCCAGCACAGCTTCCATCTGTATTCTCTTTCGCTGAGCTAGTGAGCTAGAAATGACATCTCTGTGCGCCTCAGGTACCTGTTGTACGACGTGAATCCCGGAGAGGGCTTCAACCTGCGCCGGGACGTCTATATGCGCGTGGCCGTGGCCGTGGCGCGCCTGCGCGGATGGACACTGGTGAGCGCAACTGGGACTGCACAGCAGTGGTGGAACAATGTGGGCTGGTCCATAGAGTGACCTAAGAGCATTTACCGAGGCTTTTTTTGTTTTTTTTTCATTCGCCGTTTTGACAATTGATCGCGTCAGCGTGCGGATTATTTGTTTTCTCATGTAAAATTGTTCCCGATTTACCGAAGCTCGGCTCACTTCTACAATCTACAGTGCCTGTCAACTCTCTCACTATTCACTGTACTCGTCAGGTACTGCCGCCGCTGTACCACTGGCGGTCTCACTGTACCTTACACTCCCCCCCCCCTTCTGTACCTATCAGGTGCTCCCGCCGTGGGGCCCGCTCTACCACTGGCAGGCCACCAATGGAGAGTACGAGACCGGCATCCCGTGGGCACGGTTCTTCGATGTGGCCAGCCTCAACAGATACGTCCCCGTAATGGAGTTTGACGACTACGTCAAAGGTAAGGCTACTTGCAGTTCGAAGCTGCCTGCTGGAACTCTAGGGAATGGGACGTGTGTCTACGCATTAAATAGTATTTGAAGGAACGTACAGCACTCACACCATTCATGTTCTAAATATATCAGCCTTGTTGTGGTTTTTGTTTTTCTCCATTTTAACTGAACACGATGAATTGTTTTGTTTTTGATATTGCCTCGACTTTCCCACTATCTGTAATCCGTGCCACACATTGCGTAGTATTGAATGGAAGGCTTGTGCCCATGTCTCGTGATCAACGCCGTTGCGCACATTTTGGGAACTTAACTGCACTCATGTCCTGACTTTGCTGTGAATATGGTGATTTGGCTGGTAATGTGATCGGTAACGCGATAATGTGCCGACGGGTGACTAATTACAATAATGTGACTGATCATGTGACGGTGACGTTACGGGCGTGTGACAGTAACGTGACAGTGCTGTAACGATGTGCTGTCAGTAACGCAGAGTAATGCTCATAGTAACGTGAGTGTTGTGACAGTAGCGCGACGGTATTGTGACAGCAGCATGACGATATTGTGACGATTTCCCAGAGAGCGGTGCTCGGGTGGACGCCGTCCTGCATCTGCAAAACTACGCCGAGGGATGGAGGGACGGCCACTTTGACGAGAAGTGGCACGTGCAACCCTGCCTGAGCCAGGCAAGATTTAGGTAGTGTCCAGACGGGCGCGGCCGGGTGGCCCATAGCGCTACTGACCGCTGAGGTGTCGACGTCGCCGACAATTGACTGAAATACTTAGCTCTTGGGCACGGAGGAGCATGTGTCTTGGCTATCATGGGAGGACTTGTTCCCTTTATTTAACTAAATTGACATAATTTTGATAGTAATAGCCACAGCCCTCAGCTGGTTTTACTATAAATCATCTTTGTCTATTGCTTTTTCCAGATTTCTAGGTTTTTATTTCAATTGTGTTTTTGAGCAGGCCAATAATAGTATTTCGTTTGAAATAATGTAACATTTGTTTCCATTCGATCTTGCTCATGTTGAATGGTTCCAAGGCTGTCTTGATTGATTTGTATGCTCTGTGATAGTCTTTGTACCCTCATGGCTTTGGGTCGTTCTTTGCTGATCTGATTTCTCTGGGTTAAGTATCCAATATCCATGGTTTGGGTCGGCCCGTTCTGCTGTGTACCCTGGGTTTGGGTCCGACCTGTATACTGACACACCCAGGTGGATGGTAGGGTTACGGCATGCTCTGACTGAGTCTGTGTCCGCCGTTACAGCCGGTCCGGTGACGTGTTCAGCGCCCAGATGTGGAGCCACGTGACGCTACAGGCGGCCAACTACAGCTGTGTCTCCATCCAGGGCACCTCTAGAACACTGGCGGAGATGTGTGCTGCCCAACCGCACAGGTGGGTCGGAGGCCACAGGTCACAGGTGGGCCCATCTTATACCGACGTCCGACTGTGTGGATTCCTGACTGAACTGTGGGGACAACTCTAATTAGACCGGCCTGTCCGTAATCCGTTTGTCGGCAGCGTTATATGGTTTCGCTTTTCTCAGCTCATCGTCGGAGATGTTGAAACTGGATTTCTTTTTTTTTTAGAAATGGTCAGAAGTTTATTTAAAGAAACCGTTCTCCTAGTTCATAAGAGACGTTATATATCATTGCAGGTCATATCTGATACCATACGCATATTGGTCGTTCTAGTGATGACGCGTGGGTCGGTCCATGCCCCTCTCTCCACTTTATTGATGATATGATGGTATTCTAGTACCGTACGCGATGGTTAACTCTAGTTATGTAGCGCTGATGACTGCATCTGTTGGTAATATACTAGTACTGATAATTTACTGATCCACCTTCCTTTGGCAGGTCTATCCTGGTGGACCGTGCCGAGACGGTGCTACACCACCACTACGGCGGTCGCCAGTTCTGGTCGGCCCGGCGCAGTATGCGGTTCGCCCGACACTTGGTGGAGGAGGCGGCAGCTCTGCGCCGGGACCTGCTGGCCTCTGAGGATGTGGAGGACGGCACGCGCTACACAGACGACTGGAGGGATATGAAGGTGGGACGGCGGTCGCATATATAAGCTTGACTGTAGAGTTTAGATGCGTCCTAAAGCCCTAGGAAGCAGACTAGGTAGGCCATTCGAGTAACGTTACGGGAGGCACCTACTGACAGAGATGCAACTATTATCCGTGATAAGAGTCGTCACATATTGGATAAGATATACCCGTAAAATATGCATGTCACGTATGTAGATAAAACTCGGCTGTAGTAGGTTCTTGCTAACAAAAGGACTTATAAGAAGACTTATAAAAAGATTTCACATTAGCAGGCACCACCAGTCTCGCATATCTACCCTTAGTCGGCAGCCAGCCTCAGTGACCCCTCTGACCCTCCGACCCCTCATCTGACCTCTCCCCTATGCCACCAGGTGAAGGCGGGCAGCACGCGCGGCGGCCCGTACCTGGCGGTCCACCTGCGGCGTAGGGACTTTGTGTCCGGCCGACCGCGCTCCGTGCCCTCGCTGGAGACAGCAGCGCGCGCCATATCTGCGACGCTCCGGGAGCTCGGGCTGGAGACCGTGTACCTGGCCACCGACGCACCGGACAGGGGTAGGTTTACTGCGCAGGACAGGGGTATCTTTACTCTGCTGGACAGAGGTAGGCTCACTCCGCCGAACAGGGGTTCACTGTGCTAGGGTTACTTTGCCGGGCAGGGGGAGGTTCACTCTGCCGCACATGGGTAGGATGCTCACTGCGCCGGACAGTGATAGGTTTACTCTGCCGGACAGGGTCCGTAAGACAGGGGTTGTTGTTGTTGTTGTTCCTCCCGGGCGACCTCTAGGGTCGCCCGTCAGCCAGCGGCTCCAGATGGCGCCTGAAGCCGCGGGCCAAGGCCGCGACGACGTCGCCGTCGCGCAGCTGCGCAGGGTCCACGTGTATGTTGCCGAGCAACCGAAGGCGCAGTCCGGCGAGACTCGGGCATCGGAGCAGCACATGCTCCGGTGTGTCCGCCTCCTCCTTGCACACGATACATCGCGCCGCAGGGCAGTCCTTCTCGGGGCAGCCGGGGCACGAGTTCGTCGGAAGGCGGCCGATACGGTGGAGATACTGGCGGGCCATTCCCCAGTGACCGGCCCTCAGTTGGTGTACATCCACCGCCTCGCTCCTGCTCACGCCGGAGACCGGGCTCGGCATCCGGTCTCCCCAAATTCGCCGGAAGAAAGAATCCGGCCACGACTTGCGCCATGCCTCTGCAGCCGTCCTGGCCACGGCGCCCGTGATGGTGCGGACATCCGCTGGCGCCTCCTGCTGGAGGCCGGCTGCTTCTCTCGCCAGCTCGTCCGCCTTTTCGTTGCCGGGGATACCGCAATGCGCTGGTACCCACTGCAGCGTCACCTCTTGGCCTCTGGCGGAGATGCTGAGCAGCAGGGCCCAGATCGCCGCGCCCATCGGGGTGGTCTGCGATCCCGCCCCACCGGCCAGCATGGACAGCGCCGCCTGGGAGTCGGTACACAGGACCACGGGTCCCTCTGCCTCGGCACCTGATAGGTTGCTGACCTCCTCCAGCGCCGCTTTGATAGCGCACAGTTCGGCGCGGGTGCTGGAGCACAGGCGTCCTGCAGCGACCCTGATCTCCCTGGCCTCCCCATTCCTGAATATGAGGAGGGCGCCGCCGCCGCCGTTCGTCGTGCCGCCCTCCGCCGAGCCATCGCTCCAGATCCAGGTAGCGGCTTCTGGGAAGGTGGCGAGGTAGTTCTCGGCGGTCTGGCGGCGAATCGCGGCGGGGGACTCCACGGACAGGGGTAGGTCTATAACTGTGCCGGGCATGGATAAGTCCACTTTACTGGACAATGATTGGTCCACTTTGCCAGGCTTACTCCGCCGAATACGGACAGGCCCATACCACCTCAGAGTACAGTGAAACCCTGCCGGATGATTTAGGGACCGGTGGGTGTAAAAAAAACTCAGTTTACCTGCTCTTTACTCTAACCAACATTTGACGCTAACTAGAAAACTTCGTTAACTCTGATGATCTCACATTTTTACCATTAGGCTTATCCAGGCTTATCAACGTTCGCGTTCACAGTAAGACGTTCACTCTCAAAGGCACTGATATGGATGAAACAAGGCCGATGGTAATTTCCTTGTGGACTTCTCACAAGTTTGAAATATATGTACTGCACGCCAATTCGTCGAAACATTATCGTCACAAAGCGGTGATACGTAGTGCGAAATGTTACGCTTCAGGCATGCCTTGAACGCATTTTTACTACTGGGAAGCATGTGTGCTTCTTATTGACGGCACTTCATTTGATGTTGTGGTGACTGCAGATTTATCAACATCTGTGTTCAGCTATGTTTTCCGAACTGGGTTATGCATCATAAAACAATGTCATGAATTTCTTCATGCCGCTATGTGAATTTGCGATCTTGAGGCTTTTTATCTCCTTACATTTACCTTCAATGTAGTTCCGCTTTCGGTTTCCTTATCACAGCCGCGATGCTCGCTATGACATCCGAGCGAATCTAGACATCCCAGAAAACGGTCACTTTGTACTTCGTTAACCCGAACTCATCTCAACTACTGGTACACTCGGGGGCAGATTGATGTTCCACCACTTCCTACCCATCGGGTTCCCATGGCTCAGCACTGGCTACTGCCAGTGTTCCCTGCCCTCAGCACTGCTCAGCACTGCCTGCCAGTGCCAATGCTGCCAGTGCTGCCACTGGCAGCAGCCAGTGCTGAGCCATGAGAGCCCGATGAGTAGGGAGTACCGTAAGGTGGGGCTATTTGAGACAGTGGGGCTATTTGAGACAGTATTTAAAATTGTTATAAAATAAGAACCGTTCGAAATTTATGCTTAATTTTTGCTCAGGCGATTTACTGCTCGATCCCACACCTTCCTGAGCAAAAATATCACATAAAAATCAAAAGCTCTTCATTTTATAGCGATTTTAAATACTGTCTCAAATAGCCCCACTGTCTCAAATAGCCCCACTTTACGGTAGTGGAACATCAATCTGCCCTCCAGTGTACCATCTCACAATGCGGCTGTGCAGACTGCCTTTCGGTGGGGCCTCGAGCTGCGCATCACGTGCTATTGCGTCAATGAAGCGCGGAAATCCCTGTGAGCGTGTGACGCTGGATGTCAAAACACGGCGAGTGCTGAGCGCCGTGCGATTGACGGTTATCGTTGTTGACGGCGGGCATGACACCGCACTTGATGGTGACGCGATAGAGATGGTCCGGGAGGAGGCGGATTTCGCCGCGTGATCTCCGTGGTTGGGAAACAGTCGCAGACGAGATGGGGCTTCGCTTTACGATCACGGATGATCGCGAGCCCACTACTCCTGACGGCTCCCTTCATTCCCCTCAGCTATCCGCCGCTCTCGACTGCTCCCAGCCTGTCGCCTGTCTTCCCCCTGATGACTCCTGAAGACTGAGTCTTATATGAAGTGTGGATAGCACCGCCGACATTGATTTTTCTTAAGGATCTATGATATGATGGTAGATGTTGACAGTTTTTCATAGTTGATCTTATTCTACCTTGTGTGTTTCCAAAGTGCAGCTTTTTGTATTGATGTGTTTCAGATATCGCCACCTAAAGTGGTCAATGGGGTCTATGGCTCTATTTCATCCGGTACTTACTACTTACTGTTCGTCGGGACTGGAGCATTATAGTAAATCCCAGGCCCACGAGCCCGCCTGGCCTCTAAAGGGTCGAACGCCAGACTTACTCTCTCCCACATTGTAAGCGTGACCGTGCTGTGAACACGTTCATCCGGCACCAGCGAAGGTGGCGGTAATCGGTCAGTGCGTCACAGGTCTGTTCGGATAAACAACAGATAATTGTTATCGGGAACAGGATGCGTCTTTAAAGAAAGATTTTTAGGTCATAAGCCGATGTTATCATAACATTTTCAATTTTGGTACGTAAATGAGAGACGAAGAACTTGTACTACTATAGTATTTGTGACCGGCGTAACTAGACGCCGATGAACCTATTCAAGACAGTACGGAATCGAACACAACGATTTTGATCAGGTGATGATATGCAATTTGTTTTATTAGTTAGTATGCAACGAAAGAAGTCCAGGTTGTCTTTAACGACACCGAATTCTAACAATTCACGACCACTTTGAGCGATAAAGGTGATCGTCCGCCTCTATCAAGCCATATGTGTCTCACACGCATATCATATGGCCAGTCATTCACCGTGGAAATGCGTCGTAGTGGAGCAATTCTGTAACAGATGTTATAAATGCGTGCTTAGAGGCTCGGATGAAGTGAACACTGAACAGGGCTAATCGACGACCGACCTTTTGGAGTAAGTCAATAAGATTGTGACGGTGTCATAGGTACCCAGACGCCGACACTGTAGTGGAACTGCTAACGCTATGCATACGATACTTACACGTTGGAATTTTAATCTTTTAACTTTTGACGTTTGTGCTTGCCAGATTTAACATGGGACCTAAGGTTATCACTTCTATCGCTGGCTGGCGTCATTTTAATTGTATTATTGACACTGAAATAGCCAGACAATGAATTGCACGCCGCCTGCGGAGAGCATCTGGTGCGTTTGAGTATCAAATCACAGTGGTCGTGGTGCTGGCCACCTCCGATGACCTTCACGTCTACCGGTGACCGCGCGGTGCTCGCGTCTGACGCCGCCGGACGGGATACCTCCCTCTCGCCGACCCCGGGCAGCTAATTGGCGGCCGGTCACCCGAGCCGCCGACGGCCGTCGGTGCCGGTGCGTCCCGTCGGTTCCGACACCGGTCGGGAGCGGCGCCAATCTGCGGACGGTTCAGGTGTCCCGCCGCGCCGGCTCCGATGTCTGTCGGTTTGTGGAGTTCAGTGCACAGTCGAGTTATTTGATACTGGCTCACTGGACAGTGCGCTGACGCTGACTGACCGACTGTGAAGGGAATGGATGGAGCGCCGGACCGAGACGGGATCGGCTGACGAAATTTCAATAGCGCATAGCAGCGGTACCGTTGGCATTAGCAAACCCTGCCGATGATACTATTATTATCTATTGGCCTCGCCACGTGGCATCAGCTTATCCATAGTAAGCCCCTACTCCCCGACCTTTTTTTGTCTCGCGGTTGTCTTGGGATGTGCGGTGACGAATTATTTCATTTTTGGTACGCCCCCAGCATCAATCTAATGGAACACACCAAGGGACAATGGGACAAAGAGAATTCAGCGGTTACCGTCAAACCGTTTTTTTTTTTTTACCAGTTAGGTAGTAGGCTCGCACTGTCGCATAGAGTGAATACCTTACCAGTTACCAAGACAATTAAATGATCGCAAAAAGTACATGTATGTTAAGAGACTTTTCCTGACGGCCACTCATTAGCAATAATATAAATAAATAATTAATGCAAGATAAATGTTTTATGGCCTTAAAAATATCTGCTGTCCAGTTGTTACACCGTGCCTGTATTTCAGATGTCCGTCTCGTGCCCGCCTTATGCGTTACTGCCACGTTTATCCGTCTTCCTGAGTCCCGCCTTTTTTCGTATGTCACCATCACTTTTCCATGTGCTCCAGCAGTCCTATAGGCTATATGCTGCAGCTGCTACCATGACGTCTCTCCGTGATTCCAGAGGTCGGTCGGCTGCGGGAGCTGCTGGAGCCGTTCCGGCTGGTCCGGCCGTCGCGGCGACGGGACCTCCTGGCCGGAGAGGAGGCCATTATCGACCAGATAGTCTGCAGCCACGCTAGGTGAGTCCCCCGCACCGCGGCGGGCTGGGGGTGCCGCAAACACACCGACCCCGCCGGGATTCGATCCGGGGTCTGCATGGTGGACTGCAGTGCCGAGCTGCAGTGACTTCCAACCGGCCGACATCATACCGTCCCACACTGGTCCAGATTCACGAAGAGGTCGATCAAAAATAATTTTTGAGTGAACTGAGTTCAAATCCACATGAAAAGGATCTATAAACATAAACATGACTGAATTTCTACATTTTACCTCAGAAACCGAAAATAACGAGTGATTTTAGTTGGCCAGCTTTAACAAACACGCTGATTTGTAACAAAACTGTTTATATGTCACATCATAACACACACTGAAAGTTCATCCCCGTGACCAGCAAGACAACCACCACCACCACCACCCAGGCTCTACAGCTTCACCGATGGAGCCCGAAGGAGGGCCAGGACCTCTGAAGGAAACTGGTCCGTGTCCGTGGTCGTCGGAGTCTTCAGCTTCCGCATCCGGAGGGGGCTGATCATGGGGTCGGAAGTCTCAAGAAGCCGGTGGACCAGGTCGGTGTTGGACTGAACCCGGGACATCTGGCGCGAATGGTGCTCCCGGATTGCCTTGAAGTCCTTGTTCCTGGCTTCTTGGGCTTCCTCTGACATCGCCCCCAGGGGAAGGAGCATGCCGGCGGAGACAGTGGGAGCATGGATCAGGAGCTTGTGGACCGACTGGGGCATCCTGAACCAAGCATACTGACTGACCAACATCCTGGCCGTCTCAACCGCGTACACGCCGAACCGCTCTTCGTCGAGGTGGAAGTTGGAGGACGCAGCGCGGAGGAGGTAGCTGAAGCGGCGGATCAGGGTGGAATCAAGGCCCAGGATGTCCGCAGACGTTTCGTACTCCAAGAAGAAGCGGCGGGCCGAGTTGCCGTCGTTGGTCGTTCCAGCTCCGCCAGGAAGGGGCTGGTCGATCAGGAGCCCCAAACGCTGACGAAACTCGGTCTGGATCCGCTGCTTCTGTTCCTTGACGATCCGCTGCTTCTCCTCTCCACGGGGTTGCCACTCGCAGAACGGGAGTCGGTACGCGATGTGAAGGAACATCTCCATCGACCGGATCCAGCAGTGGAGGGTGGAGATTCCGTGCTGAGTCCGGTCTCCTGCAATGGGCCGGGCCAGGACTCCGTCGATGTTGTTCATCTCAGTAGGCTTGGCCCGGCAGATGCTGCAGATCTGTTGCGACCGGATTCCCTGGATGGCGTTGTGGACCTTGCCGTCAATCATGGTCAACGTCATTTCATGGCGGACGGAGATGGTGACGTCGTTAGTGAGTTGGACGACTGACGGCGTGAGTGACTCCACCTCCTGCTGGAGTTGGACGTAGGTGGCGGTGGTCAACTCCTTGGACTCATTCTCGAAGATGAAGCTGATCGGATGACAGAAGAAAGTGAAGTTTGGCTTCGGGTTCGCCCAGATCACTCGGCCATCCTCGGTCCGGAGCCGCAGAGGGACCATACTCGCCAGGAACATGGTAGAGTCATCGACGTCCGTTGATTGTCGATGGCGGTAGACTTGTTGACCGGTAGCGCCGTCAAACCCGTACTTGGAGGTCAGGATCAAGGAGCCTTGAGCTGCCAACGATTGGATGACCGACGCCTGGAGCGTGCACAGCCTTGACGCCGTGTGGTCAAGCAACTGCTGCACGGGGGCAGAAGCGCCCCGGTCGTCGACAACAACTCCAGCCGGATGGCATCGCTTCTTGGCATCCAATACGAAGTTGTGCGGCGGGAAGATGTCGGCGACGTGGTCCTTTGATGTCTCACGGACCTCTTGGTACGCAGCTCGTGTCATGTTGGTGTTGAAGAGCAACACGAGAGCTTCGTCGGCCGACAGCGTTTTCGGAAGCGATGGAGGGGGTCCGCGGTACGATGCCTGCACCACAGTAGGGTCCGGGCCGTCTGCCGCAATCACTTTCTTGATGATGTCGGCTTCGGTTTTCCTCCCCTCCTTCCTCAGAGTCATCTGAGCCGCGTACGCCAGCTGCTCGCCGGTGAATCCTTGGTCGAATGGGCGCAAAATGACCACCGCAGTCGACGCGCCCGTAAACCCCAATGAACGAACGAATCCTTGGTCGAGCAGCTGGGACACGTTGCTGCGCCTGGTGGGGGAGGAGACGAGGGTGAAGGCAGCCGGCATCTGCGACGGTCGTCCGCGGCCATCCATCGGGTCGTCTTGCCCAGGAGCTGGAGGTGCCAGGATCGCCACTGGAACAGATTCGAGAAGCCAGACTGCATGTTTGTCGAGCATCTTCGCGAAGATCCGTCGAACTCCTGGAGCATCCCAGCGTCGATGCATCCTCTTCCGGTGATCAAGAACGACGTCCCGGATGACAGATCGGTCAGGCACACGTCCAGGAGGAACCGAAAGACACAAGAACTCGACACCAGCTTGCAATGCCTCGTCCGACATCAGGGGACCGGCTCCCAGCATCGCCTCCAGAAGCTCCCGACGGGTGGGGGACGTCATCTCATTGAGTGAATCTGAAACGGGAAAATCTAATTTACTGCTAAAGTAGCAAATAGTAGCAAAACCTTTTCCTACCAAGTGAAGAGTAATGTTGTAGGTATCACATGATATGGGTTTGATTTTGTACTTTGCTGTCCTTCCGTACGATTTCATCCGATGAACAAACAACAAGCGACCGCACGACCACATGTGATTCCAACCAAAGGAAATTCTTCCAGTATTGGCTCAAAAGGAGAAACGACTACGTGGTTGGGAAGTTGCCATCCTTGGGTGACTGGAGGTCCCACAAAAACTTGGAGACACGAACGTTCACTGGTGAGCACACGAGCACAACTCGTCACTTGCTGAGAAGCGGCACAAAGAGGGGAAAAAACCCTCACTTTTAAACGCGCACTGCTCCTGATCAGAGGGCTCAGGAACCAAACTTAAAGCATATCTCGGTTCCCCAGGAACATAACAAAAGAAAAATAACCCTGGAATAAGTAAATTCGAAAACAGCAAATATTATTTTTGATCGGGTCTTACGTGAATCTGGACCAGCGCGTCCCCCAGACAGCGTCTAATCCATTCCGTTTACTGACCTTTCGTTTTGGGTAATGTTTTAATGGATGAAGCTATTCATACTTCTCGTGAAGACAAATAAGACGACCAAAGCTAACAATAAAAAAATCGATGCTTTCTCGCATTTCTCCGTTTCAGGCCAGACAATCGCACAGTTGATTGTCTTATGTCTAGCAGTCGAGCAGTAACCTATATCGGTACGATGTGATGGGTTGCCATAACAACCGGCCGTGAGTCGCGTGGGCAGCCATTATCTTCGTGCCCGCGGACGGAGACCCCGCTCAGTAACCCAGACCGGGGCTGTGTCGCCACACCGAGCCCCGGCTCCTAATTAGGTTCGTTTATCAGCGGCGGCACAACTAAATGTAGGCCGTTGGTGTATCTGATCGTGTGCGCATACACCGCCTTTTTAAAGCTCAGTCTAAGCTCAGTCTGTAGCTTTGGGTTCAGTACTTCTTGACTTCAATGTATCCGGACCGTATTCTGATCCCATAGCTCCTGACTGTTGTGCCAGAAGCCGAGTTATAAGCCACCATGAATGACTCGTGATGATGTGATGATGATGTCTTGCATCCAATGCCGCGGACCGCGGTGATATCCTGCTGGTGAATTCCCCTCTTCTTGCTAGATGGTATTGCACTTACACCATAAGCCATTACTAAAATACTCAGTCGTCTTAGATGAATGTTTTGTAGCTTTTCCCCTAAATTGTGTCAATTACGTTTTGGCTGACATGAGATCTTGGGCACGACTGCCGGTCGCCGGTATCGAAAAGGTGATTCGCTGGTTCTTCATCGTCCAAATTTGATCACGAAGTTGAGTTTTACTTCGGAACTAAATGTTATCCTCTCAAGCTTCAAATCCGTAGTGATTTGTGGCCTCGTCGCCTCATTTAACCCGCGCCCCGTTGGGCTCTGCCGAGCAACGCGCCCATTTTGGGGCCATTTGTTGGGGGGGGGGCATTTTGCCCCCCCCCCCCCCTAAGATCTCGAGAACCACGCAACTTAGCGACAAGCGGCAAACGGTGTTGGATAGCCCTATCAGGGAACTACCTTGTGACCCAATTTTATTGACCTAGGTCAAACCGATGACGTCACAGGTCAGGTCAAAAGTCCAATTTTCACCGTTTACAGGCATTTCAAAGAATGCGTTGTAAAATCGAGTAAAATGCATTTCATTGAAAATCATCAATGTAGAAATGTTCTTCAAACACATATTTTGCTATTTGAGGTCACTGATACCAGGTCAGGTCACAGAGGTCAGGTCACGGGGGGTCACAATATGACAGTGTCGTGTGATACATGTTTTATGGTCCATTTTACATGACAAATGCGATTATGTGGGTCAGGCAGCCTTTGGGGCCAGCTTAGGTCACGTTTTGGTCAAGGTCAGGTCAAATTAGGTCAAATTTCAAAGTTAATATGTTTGCATAAAATGGGTATCGAATCGATGCAGCTCGTCACGGGGAGTTCAATGGTGGTCTTTGTTTTGCCGTACGTGGTCTAGAATCGCTAAAAATTGAGTTCAAAAATTTGACGTCATCATTTTTGAACAGTTTTTTCGCTATAACTTGGCCAAAAAAGGAGATAGCGATCTGAAATTTGGTATGTATATAGAAGAGCGCAGGGACTATCACATATATTCCGGTTTTTTTTCGAAATTCGGAAAAATTTTGGTTTTTTTTTAGTTTTTCAAAAAAAACAATTTTTTGAATTTTTGGGGTCAAAAACCCAAAATTTTGAAAATCCGAGATAGTAGTTTTGTAGCGCCGTTTGTTGTCTACTAGACCATATAAAGAACTTTGAAATTGCTTGATAACTGTAGATTTGGTGAGCGTTTCAAGATTGCATGATTTTTGCTCATTTTTGCTCGAACATGACCTCAGTTTGACCTCAATAACTCCTGACCTAAGGTGACCTAAGACTTGAAATTTGGTGTGAAGGTGTCAAATTGATGCCCGAGAAGGTACTGAAAATTTGGCGGCGCTGCGCCCCGCTGTTTTCTTGCTATTCAGGAAAAACCACAGGGGGGGCCAAAATGGCCCCCCCCCCAACGGAGCGAGGGTTAATATTGATATTGCGTGTCCAGTGTGACAGGTTAGCCGAAATATCGTTACGCTGTACAGTGAGCATACGACAATAAGCATCGGTTGTGTCACATTCTTAAAGTACATACAATGAATATAAAGAGGAAACGTCGATGAAAGCAATCGTTGCGATAACAATGATGCGGTTGGCTTTTAGGTTATACCCAAGGGAATGCAAGACAACATGCAGGGATGTTCTTTTTATGATCGTTCTAGATATCTGGCCAGATAAGAACTAATATGGCTTTCAGATCTTACCTCGTGCATTCTCGGAAGAAAAATTGCGAAGTGTTTGCGTTTATTTCCTTATTGCGGCGTGATGTTCATGTTAGGTTATGCTCCGTATTTACATTTAAATCGACTTAACTGAAATTGAATTGCGCTTCCAGCTTTGAGTTGCGTGCTCGAATCCAGCACGCAGTGCAATGCTGGTGTAGTGCCTAATATCAAAATGAGCTGAGATGCGGTACCTAGTATTTAAGTCCATGTTAAATTAAATCCGATGTTGGCTACATCCTGAAGTTGAGAATGGCTCGTGCTCGACGGGTTCGGCGATGCTAACACGCTCTGGGAGTTTTGGGGCTACTGACGCCCGGGTGACGGGAGGCGCTTCTAACACGTTAGTGGATAGATCCCTGTAACCCTTACCTGAGTAATTCCAGGGGCGGCAGCCGGGACCCCCCTTCTCCTACCAGCAGGGCTAGTGTGTGACGCGGTGATGCAGATGTACTGACTCAACAGACGACACAAATTCACCCGAAACGTTACGTGACACAGGTTTCGATCCGACCCGATTCTGACCAGCGGTAAAGGTCGCCGACTTTTTACTCTGCTGCATACTCCCCCTGTCGTTCACCGTCTCACCGGGTGACCGCTGCCGTGTGTAACTATGCAGAAAGGCGCTGATAACGCTGGCTTCGGTAGAAGGATCTACGTTTCCCTTTGAGCGTTTCCCTGTGATCATTTCCCTTATAGGAGCTGCGGTTAGACCCCATCGGCCAGTCACACCCGCACACCATCTCCCGGCAGGCACTTTATCGGCAGCTACGAGTCCACCTTCTCGTTCCGCATCCAGGAGGAGCGCGAGATCCTGGGCTTCAGTGCCGAGTCCACCTTCAACCGGCTCTGTGGCGACCGCGAGGGCAAGGGCTGCGAGCAACCCACCCGCTGGCGCATCGTGTATGCGTGAATGAGGGGACGTAAGAGGGACGCCTTAGAGGAGGGGCTCCGCTCCGCCTTGGTGACCGCGAAAGGGTCCAGCTGTGAACAGCCCATCCGATTCAGGATCGTTTATGGATCAATGAAGGTCTGAGCCTGATTTCGCTAGCTGTGAGCAGCCCATCCGGTGCAAGATGCTCGTGAAGGGCGAATGGTGGTACGGAGGAGCTCCCTACGGGAGGAGTAGGGTACGGACCTCATTCATGTGACACTTTGTTGAGTGGCTTATTATCTGGGATGTTCGCTGGGTCGTTTGTTTTCCAATACTCATTAGACTGAGGGTCGCAAGACCATAGATTGTATTTTATGGCCGATCATCGCTGCTATGACCGGAGTGACCCGACCTGGACGGCTGACGAAATCTGTAAATCCAGTTCATCTGAGTTGAACTCGAAACAATGCCTTTGGTGCAGTTTTTATAGCCTGACGGCTTCATGTTGTGCTCCGCGTTCTCTTAAGTATTGAACGTTGTGTGTTTTATATAGATATCTGTATGGGCGACAAGTAGGATGCCTACTAAGAATATTGAATGTTGTGTGTTTTATATAGATATCTGAATGGGCGACAAGTAGGATGCCTACTAAGAAATGTTACGTGCCATATTATATTAACCCCATGGCGTTATCTGATGTTCGATATTGAGGTTATTTTCTCTGGGATGATTGACGGTGCCGTTATTGATTCTGCACTTGCTGCGTAGAGGCTATCAGTCGCAGTTCAGTGGTATGGGCTGTCATCCATATGACAAAATGAGCTCGGGCTCCAAACCGCGTGAGTCGTGGGGCCGGTGGGTGGTGAGTTTCTGTGTTCGGGTGTCTGAAAAGTCCCTCTAAATCTCTGTGACAAACGAGTTCATTTGTTGGGCGTGAGTCCCTGTGTAAGAGGTAAGCTGTTTGTGGCGTATGAGTGCCTGCTCGTCTCGGTGCCTCGGTCCGTTCCATCCCGAGCGAACGCGGCTTCGGGTCAGGTTTCGCTGCTCTGCCGGCCGGTGTTGTGCACTGTTCTGAGAGGAGTTAATGAAGGAGCGCATTGGCGCGCGTCCGACGCCGGCCAAATGTGGCTCGCCTGAGTGGGAGGTTCGCCGTAGTCAGCAAATGACCGCGGTCGACCTGCTGCCGCGACTCTGCTGGGGTAGGAGATTGTCAGCCAGGTCAACGGGGAGAGGTCAGTCGGGGAGGTGGGACGGTTAGTCTTGTCATCCGTCGGTGACCTGTCTCGCTTGTTGATACCGTCTCAGATGCGACGTTGTTACTTATACTTTGTGAATAAACGATTGTTTATATTACAAATTCTTTGTGAGAGATTATTTCGGCGAACATCGCTTACCAGCAGAGATGGTAAGTCGTAACCCGTGAGTAGCAGAGGCTTCCAAATATGATCCCAGGGGCAATTGTCCCGCTAGGAATGGAAATGTCCCGCCCCTTTGCCGTCATCGTTGTCAGTCACATTGCCCAATCGATGTAAGGCGACACTGGTACTTACCGAGCATGACTACCTACAGATGATATTCAGAATATGACTCCCTCATTTCCCTCATTTGGAAGATGTATATGTGTCCTCTCCGCTCGGGCTTTCCCATCCACTACACAGGCACCGCTCGAGTCCCGGCGCCGCCGACGGCCGACGCAATTATCTGATGAGCTTATGAGCTTCATGAGCTTGATGAAGCTCGACAGCGAGCCTTCGGGGCGTCATAGATCTACATGACTAGAACCAGAAAAAGTCATGATAAGATTACCTCTCGGGGCGTTCTCGATCCTGGTTATGGGGTATAGGCCCCTACACAATGTGTCACTTCACGGACAGTGTTATCGGGCATTGTCTGTCGGTCAGTTCAGAGAAATAATTGGATTCAATATCTTAACTCGTTAAGTCATCACTTGTCGTCACGATATCATCACTTTATGCCCTATGGGTTCGCATTTCTCAAGGAGAATGTCCTGCGGTGCGTATTTTATGACCCAATATGTAGGCGGCAGGTAGGTATGACTGGACTAACAGTGGGTAGACAAGATGTCAGGTGACTGAGCCCACGGCTCCGCCCTTCCTGTGAGTCACCGCTAGTTCCGGGGCGGCGCCCGGATAGACGCGACCTCGGCGATAGACGCGGCCCCGGCGATAGACGCGGCCCCGGCGATAGACGCGGCCCTTCAGAGACGCCCACGAATGGAACGCGACGGTGAAACGATGGTTGACATCACAGTCGCAAGGTGGCCTTATTCAGCATCGCGCGCATTTGCGTGCTACTGCTGAATCCACACATGCTCACTATTCTGACTTGTCAACGATTATTTGAGTCATGGAACTTTTCCTTTTTTCAGATAGATATTTCATCTGAAGATTTTATACTAGTAAAATGCCTATTATGATTTACCGATGATATTACCGTTTAGGCATAACCTAAGCTCATCGGTCATGAGCTCAGTAGCTCAGCTGAGACATCGTGTTTTCTATCTTCTGTGTCTGTGTCTGATGACCGGTGCGCAATGTGCATTGCCGTCTCATTCGGCCTTGGAACAGTTTCAGTGTTTCTCTGTGGCGGGAGGCTCGGTGCGGTTCTGTGCTGTTTTGAAGAGAAGTGGTGCAGAAGTTTGCCAAAATTATTTACCAACTTTTGCTCACGAGCTTAGGGTTCGTTGGCTTGACACAGCTCTGTCACCAGTTCACCCGAGGTATAAAATTAAAAATTGGCAGAAGCACTCGCCACATTTCGTGATGGTCAATCGAGCTTTTTGCGAAGGTTTAGCCTGTCTTTGGGGGAAGCGGCAAGGTGTCAGTGTGTGTTTCACTACCTTCGCTCTCGAGCGGGAGTTGAAAACGTGTGGTTCCGGCTAGAATTTTTACTGTCTTCAGTCTTGCAGTACCTATACCTATTTAACATGAACGAACGAATAACAATACAAAGCAAGAAAACGTATAAGCGCGGCTCAAGCGTCAGCGGGCGACCCCCGCTCCGCGAGTCAGCCAAACCCGTGTCGTGTCACCGCCAGGCGGCAGCACTGGTCCGGTGACCCGACCTCACGTGATGTTACAACACTACAGAATTAAGTGTTGATCGTAATTTCTGAACGCTTATATAACTATTCTATTTTTTCACTATTTATGCTGGCTGCTGCAGGGATTAGCCTGGCAGTAGCTTATCAGTCTGCCCAGATATGCTCTGGTAACAACCGGGTTTCGGAAGTTCCCTGTAAACTCGTTTTTTTTTTTTTGTTGTTGTTAGCCTGCCTGAATGATGTCCTCACAATATTCCCAGTACAGAGCTCCTATTTCGCGTCTAGCAAAGACACGGACTGTCAGCGTGGGTAGAACTGTTTACCTTTTACACGCCTACTTACATCCGCAGTACACATTGTATCATGTGTCTGTGAACATTCCGAGTGCGTGGGCCAAACAATAAACACAGCTGTTTTGTGTCATCTTTATTGTACCACCAATCACATCGAACACCAATAAATAAACATTCATCACACAGAGCACATACACCGGCCCTCCATGTCGCCGGATTTGTAAGTACGCCCACGAACCGCTCCAATGTGTTGAGTTGATAGCCAGGTGCCACACAGCGTTGGGCTCACTTATCGCATGAGATAGGTCGAGTTTCATGCCACCTCGTAAATTGGAAAGAGTGCATTTCACGCCCTGCTCAGTTCTGAATTCTCGGCCTCCATTCGCGGAGTGTTACCTTGCCTTCCCGCGGACGGTTTTAGCCGTCAGACACTCGGTCATCCGCTGATCTCCCCACCCTCCTCATGAAGTGGTGCTGGTTCCCGGAGCCCCGGCTACCCACGCGGATTTGGTGACCGGGCGCCGCGGCCTCGGGTGAGATCACCTCCGACTGACCCGGCCAGCCTCCCATCGCGCCACGCCGCCCTTTGGACGGTTAGATCAGCCCTCGGCGGCCCAGATCGACGCCGCCGGCCCTCCCCGAATCAGCCGGCTCTTGGCCCTGGCCTCTGCCCTCAGCTCTGTCGCCGCCGGCGGCCTAATCACTTCAGAAGAATCGACGGAGGTCGGCGGCGGCGGCGCGTTCCTGCGAACTACCCCCGCCCGCTCTCCGGCCGTTCGCTCGCTCCCATGGTAGAACGGGGCTTTCCGCGGAGCGGTGCGAGCTGTGCGATCATTATCACATGGCGGTCGGGGGCTGCGGGATGCTGCACACTGCACAGTGCCGCCGGCAGAGACGGAGAGAGGAGACGGACCGAGTGGTCAGTCGCCGGCCGAGGGCGGCGCCGGGGGCTTACGGGCGCGCGCCGCCCGCACAGGGCGTGCTACCGGACATACGCCTACGTCCGGAGCGCGTCACTCCACCGGGAGGTCTGACGTCACTCAGAGCCTGGTGGTCTGGCGTCACTGTACGGAGATGTGGCGTCACTCAGAGCCTGGTGGTCTGACGTCACTCCGGGCGAAGGTGTGAGGTCACCACACAAAGGTGTGAGGCTACTCTCAGAGGAGGTCTGCCGTCGCCAGAAGCGGGCGGGCGGGCCCAGACGGCGCGTTTGCAGCAGACTGGCGGAGGGCGAGAAATGTGCCGGTCGAGAGCTCCCCTCCGATTTCACCGGGCGCGTTGTATCAGCCTGCGATTACTGGAGCTCGGGAGGGGAGCGAACATTGCAACATCCCGGGACTGGGCGGTGCCGGGGAGGGAGGGTGCGGCCCAGAGCCGTTCGCGGAAGGAGGGAGGAGGGAGCACTCCGCTACATCGTGATCCCCTTCCTCCGCAGGGGTGAGATAATATTCAGACGGGCCAGACGCGGCGATAGGAAGCTGCGCAGCCGCTCCATAAGCATTCACCTGAGATCTGCCAGTGTCGAGCCAGCAACACGGGACGCAGCAAAATACCCTCCACACAAAAATACACCCCACATGTCCGAGACACGCCGACAGTCCCACACACAGACAGTCCCACAGGTAACGGTACGACGTCGGCGACATCAGATGCCGGACAAGTCCTGTCCGCTGCCGGTTTTTCTGTCCGCAAACAAACAGTACCTACTTTCACAAAAACCGGGTATCGCATTTCAGGAGAATACAGCTGATCACAACCGTTCTTCAGTCGACCCTAAATCTAGTGAGATCTTTCTTCCACCTGCCTCTGGAGTGAGGACTTACGGATAGCGGTACACCAGTGTGTACTGTGTACCAATGATCGGACAGCGGTACACCAGTCCGTTCCAATGATCGGACAGCGATACATTAGTCCGTGTTCGACCTTTGGTACACAGGTCTTAGCCAAAGGTCGGACGGGTCTACACAGGTCCGTACAAAAAACAGACAGCGGTACGTACCAAAGTCCGGACTACGGTACACATGCTCATACCAAAGGTCGAACAGCAGTGCCCTGGTTAGCACACTGGATCTTACCCTTCTGTAGACACGCCAACATTTACCGATACCGGACTGCGTGTGCTACCGCTGACCGTTGATCAGTAGCCTGATTCAGCACTGCCGTGCCTGATTCAGTCGCGTCTCGGTGCCTGTTTCAGTCACCTCTCGGTGCCTGGCTCAGTCACCGGTCGCTCCACCGTTTGGCCTTCCTTCTGTCCGTCTCAGTCGGTCTCTGTAGAGAGGTCGATGCCGATGACGCAGCCTCGGGTGGCCTTCAGGAGGCGCCTGAGCCGCTGTTGGTACTGCTGCACCAGCGCCCGCGACGGACCGTGGCGGGCGTGCTTCACGTGACACCGGCCGTGCTGCATGCGCGACATACAGTCGAGAAAATCCTGCCGGCGGGGACAGCAGGGCGGTCAGGATGAGCTGGAGTAGCGCCCACATCCCTACACCTACATCTGCAGCGGTTAGCAACTGAACAGAGGTTACACTCAGGCCCCGACAGTCGGTCAGTGATGGCTGGAATTATACACTCATCTCCTTGTCACAGCCAGTTCCCGATCTCGTAAGGAAATCAGACAAAGAAAAAACTATTAACAATCACTGACATTGTCGCTAAGTCGAGCAGTGTGTGGAAGGAATGGCCTACCTCCTTGGAGGAGCAGCGATGGTCAAACGTCATGTCCGAGGATAACTCTGTGATGAGGTGGTTGCCGCACCGCCGCAGGGCCTTGAACAGACATATTTCTGGAAAACAAACGTGTCGCTTCGTCAGCAACTGCAACCAACGCCAGAGGCTCAAGTCTGATCACCACTCACAAAAAGTCGCAGCTTGAAGATAAGCCAAGGCGAGGCGCTCGCCGGAAATGCAAGCATGCGCTTGAACCGTGGCAAAGATAGCACGTGGTTAATTCAGCTGCTCGTTGCATGTGAACACTCGATAAAATAGCCCGTCTCGATTACTAATGATCACTGCAGTGGATTTAGCACCTACCGTTCTTGTTGCTGAGCCGTTTATTTTTGGCCATCATCTTTTTATGGTGGTGGTGCTGGCGGCGCAGGAAGCGTTTGAGCTCCAGCCTCCGACGGGGAGGCGGGTCCAGCGCCGGCTCCAGCTCCTTATCCAGCTTCGAGCGGAGGTCGTCGACGTCACTGGCGCACATCAGTCGCACATCAGTCAACGTTGGAGCAACGTCAGTCAACGTCGGAGCAAGCCGGCTTGTGAACGTCAGTCACAAGCCGGCCGGCGGCCACATTGTCGGTGCTACGGCAATTTCACAAAAATGACTGTTTATACTTTGTAGGCATCGAGGATGTACGAAAACAGTTAATTCCTCTCAGGTAACTGATACGTGCCCTACGGCTTGTATGCATGACGTCAGAAAATGCGAACAGTTCAACATCATCTTGAGAAGCAGGTGTTGCCCTGCTTTGATGACGAAACCAAGGATCTTTAAGACACCATATGCTCACTCGAATCAGTGCAGCCTTGCATCACCTGTAACTTTAAGTGCCCATATACACGTGCCACTCTGATACGATTGCACTAAACACTTAGCATAGTACGAGGACCCGCCTGTGTAACACGGTCTGGACGTTTCCTAATGGAGTGTTGGCCACAGAACAGGGGCGGACCCGCCCGGCCGCCGGCTGTTCTTGGCCATACACGGTGTGAACTGACACCATTGGCAGACGATCACACGGGCGGCCCACCCAGCGGCTTCCCCCGTCCCGTGTCATTCAGGCATCAGCCGCACCCGCACTGTAGTGTGTAGTGTGTAGTCGCCCGCCGCCCGGCACCGCCCTGAGTTGGACACCCACCAGCCTCGACAACGCCGCCGCCCGCCGTCCAGCCTCCCGCCCTGCCATCCGCCGGTCCCGCCACCACTGGAGGTTGTGCTTACCTGTCGCTCCTGTCTGCGCCGGCCCGCAGGCTGTCGGCCACGGCAGCCACGTGTCTGCCCAGACCGGAGGACAGTCGCTGTCCGGACACCAGGCCGCCGGAGAAGCGGCGCCGCGCCAGTTCGGCCAGCCGCCCGTAGCCGTACGGTTCGGCGGTGGGGGTCAGGACGAGCAGCAGCGCGGCGGCCACCAGCAGCGGCGAGCGGCGCCCGCCGGTCATCTGAGGCACAGAGAGGAACGCAGGGGTGAGAACAGGGTACCGGGGATCAGCGGCGCCGGCCGGTCATCTGCGGCATAGAGAGGAACACAGGGGTCAGTCTGCGGCACACGGGACGGCACAGGGGTCAGCAAAGAGGCCAGCTAGCTTCGAACGGTCCCCACCGGGCGTCTCCATCACACAGAGCGGAACCGCGGCAGTCAGCGGTACAGGGGCCGGTTAGCCTGGAACGGCATTGGGGACGATAAATACAGCGCCGGGTAGCCGCGGAAATGGCACGGAGAAGCTTATTAATCATTAACTAGGACTGGATGAGGATCTGGAAGAACTCGGGGACGGTGAAGGATAATTAAGTTTTTTTTTAATCAGTTTCGGTCAGAGGTGTATAAGGAGCTACATACGTGATCCAGCCTGAGGAAGAATGACTTCGAACAGTTCACAGCATTAGTAACGTAACCGTGTACGCTGTCATTCAGCATCGAAGTCTCCGGAAGTCGGCAACTGTTATGGCTAGATACTCGTAATGCGGTGTAGGGCTCAGGGTATTGGGTGTTAGTAGGGCGTTGTGGCTCCGCACTTCCGCAGTCCATGGCTACGGCACACCACCCCATGACGCAACCGCTCTAATCTTCGGACCACGCAGTGTTATCGGTTCAACTCGTGCACGTCCGACGCACGGCGTTCCCACGGCGACTCCTTGAACTGAGCGTCACTCAACCGGCGCAGCCTCGCAACTCCGGGCATCGTGGTACCGAACACGAACGCTCTGAACCTTTCGCACGCCGTCTTGATGCAGGCGCTGTGGACCTTCGCTCAATATACCCTGCTGTGGACTGTCCGTGACTCCGTATGTGTCTGAATATACAGACACCGAGTGGGCCAACCAGGCGTGTCCCTCCATCTCCATTGGACCGGGAGGCGCCTCAGGAGCACACGGCCGGCAGTGCGAGTGGCCGCCGCCCATTGGTCTATGGTGACGTCATCAGTAGCTAATTACCTACCGATTACACACGGTGAAGTTGTGGCCAACACTGAAACCAAGTCTACAGTCGGAGCCGTGGCCAAATTCGCCTAACCAAACGGCGACAGTTCTCTAGAATCTCTTATATGTAGAGCTTTCACAGCCCTGAGCTACCAATTGCTGATAAGGTGCAATATGACAGTGTCCTGTGAAATTTGGCAGCCCCATTAAGCACAGACGAGAAGTTTTCTGTGAGCGGGAACTACGGAAAAGAAATTATCTGTGAGCTAGGGCCTAAGAGAGCTCTTAGAAAGCTTCGGTAGTTTCTGAGCTGTGATTATCTTAGGATTTCCTCTGAATTCCGCCACAATCGGTGGTCATCGGTTGGTGCAATGTCACTCGGCAGTTGACAGCCGGAGCCGGAACCACTGCCAGCGCCTCCAAATTCCCCATCGGCACGCGCCGATGGTCCGTGAACAGCCCACGGGTCGCCGGCGGGGGCCGGGGCGGGGGCGGAGCGCGGTACACCGTGAAACTGGCGGGAAACCCGCCGTCTCCGGGTGCGGCCGTCGTGCGCGCTCCCGCCGGTGGCGACGGCGGCGCACCGTTTCAGACGCCGCGGCGGCAGGTTGCCGATTCCCGGAGGCGGGCCATTTGGAGCGGGCTTCCCCGGCGTGCCCGTGCAGCCACCGTCGTGCCGGATCGTGCCCGGGTGCGCCGGTGCGTTTCGGCTGCCCGCGGGCGTCGGGCGCACCTCCGGCGCCCCCGGCAGAGAGTCGCGGCTCCGGCCCACGGCCGCGGCGGACTTGGCGCGCCGTGGCCAATGTGGTGTCCCGCGCGTGTCTGGCGCGAATGACTCTCCGTGCGGCCACACAAGTAGCGTGCTAATGTCTTGACGAAACGCTTGCACTGAACTTTAGGTTGTACTCCTGGCTTGGCTTTCTGATGAATGATGACTGCCAAAAGCGCAGTCGATTCGGATCCGAGAGCTCTATTCCCCCTGGATTCTGCAAAGCACTTTATTACCGGTGTCTGTCTGGGCACCTTCACGCTTCACCAGAACTTGTTTGGAATGTCTAGACACCACCCTAACTTCCACAGAATTCGCTGCCTGTGGCCGTCGGCATTTCACATTCAGGGGCACGACACAGGACGCGGCTAACTGCCGTGTCCCACGAGACGGCGCCGCTTTAACGCTGCTCACACTGTAACTTGTAAAACGGCTTTGCTGGCCGAAGCCATCAACGGCATGGCTTTCCCTCTGACGACCCACAGACAATCTACATTTTGTCCGTCTGGGGGCAGTTTGCGGCCCGTCTATACCTCAGCCTGTCCGCGGGTGATTCCCAACCCTGGCCCAGTGTGCGCTGACCGACTGAGGTTTGCTCTCTGACGGCGCCCCACCGCCCACACCCGAGTACGCTCGTCGCGACGGCGGCTAGAAAGTGCCGCGTGCCGGCCGGCCGGCATGGCGTCCAGGAACGCGGCTCAGTCACGCGAGAGGCGTCATAGAGGCTGACCCTGCCGCCGGCGCCGCGGGTCCGTCAGGCGGCTACCTCCCTCCACCTCGGAGACGTCCGCGCGCGCACGTGGCTCGGCTCCGACCCGCTAAACCGAGTGGGAGGGGATCTGCTTCTGAAACTTGATGAGTGGGAGGTGCGGCTACCCAAAAAGGATCGGTGCGCGGTGCCGGTTGCGATAACGTGGTGCGATGAGCGAGCTCCCGCGGCTTCTGAGACGGTCCCGGTGGGATGAAAGCGCCAACCGGAAGACGTCCTCCCGAGACGTGGAGGGCAGTGGGCGGGATTGGAAGCAGTGAGTCTGACAGTGTTCCATTTTTGGGAATTTTGGGTGGAAAATCACACCTAATGGGTAAAATATTTTCATCCCCAAAACCAGGTAAATTGGAATTCTTTCATCTTTGAAAAATGCTCAACTCATGCTCAACAATTAACCCGCGCGGGGCTGGGGGGGGGTAAATTTTACCCCCCCTCGCGAATTTTTGCGATATCTCAAAAACGGCGGCGCGCAGCGCCGCCAAACTTTCAGTACCTTTTCTTACATCAATTTGACACGTTCCCTGAAAATTTGAGCGAAATCCGTCGGAAAATTTTTGAGAAATTGACGTTTTAGTGACGTCATGTTTGTCATTTTCGCCTCAAAAACGGCAAAAGTTCAAACGCCGCTAACATCTTCATTTTTAAAGGAATCAAGACGTAACAAAAAAGGTTATACGTAATTTTACTTTGTCTATCAAATGGCTATCTCGGTTTTTTGAAAATTTTGGATTTTGGCCTAATTTTTTTCAAAAAACTGACTTTTTTGGGAAAATCATTATAAAATCCAAAATTTTGAGTCTATCGAAAAAACCGGAATATATGTCAGAGAAGTGGTCTATGTGCACCTACATACCAAATTTTAGAAGAATCGGTTCAAAAATGTGGGAGTTATTCAAAATTTTATGACGTCACGACACACAATTTTTGAAAAATGACTTTTTTGGAAGTTCTAGACCTCGTACGGAAACAAAAATAGCACCATTCGATTCGCCGTGAAAAACTGCATCAGATAGACACCTTTTTAGGCCCTAACAACCAACTTCAAAATTTGACCTCACTTGACCTGACCTTGACCTGACCTCGATCTGAAATTCATCCAGAGGTGGTCCATATCACTTATTGAGTGTGCCTATTGAATTCTATGAGTAAAATGACCCATAAAACATGTGTCGCACATGCCCTTTTCTATATTTTGTTTTTTGGTGACCTGACCTGACCTGACCTGACCTTGACCTTGACCTCTGAATGATATTGTATGCAACGAATATTGTCTTGGTAGCCTAAGAACACGTTTTGGGCGATGAGTCTCAGTCCATGACTCCATTCTTCGGCAACTACGATGCAAGGCCGATACTGTAGAAACTTGCAATTTGTACCCTTGACCTGACCTTGACCTTGACCTCAAACTTTAAATTAAGTACATGTTTTTAGTAGTTCGTGATGAGAGCTTTCGATTCGCGTTTGAATTTTCCAAATCGGACCGTTAGTTCGGGAGATAACAGGGGGGGTAAAATTTACCCCCCCCCCCAGCCCCGCGCGTTCGGCTGGAGACCCCAGCCCCGCGCGGGTTAACAGCCAGATTACCAGATATACCTAGCAGCGCCATATAGACAGTTAGAATAGAACTTATAGGTTTGCTACATAATACATAATTTCCATGAAAAAAAATCGAAATCAAGGCACAAACCCAACAACTCACCCTGACTGACAACGAAAGAAAATAACCTTGCACACTTCCAGCTGTTAATTCTAACGAATAGTGTTTGTCTTTTCAAACAACCTGCGGTTAATAACAAATATGCGTTGAATGACCTTGATCACCTCAGCTGTTTGTAAAAACCAGGCTTGTGTTCTGAATAAATGCTTTTGGATATTCATAACAACTATGATTAGTGGTTTGCTGCCAACGCAAAACGGATGAGCCGCTGCTTGCGCAAATTAAACACTACCTCTGCATTTCGCTTTTGACTAAGTTGCGCAGGATACGCCTACAAAATTTTCATCTTTGGACCCGCAGTCAGCTGGGCACACCCTGGCACACCCTAGGGATGAATTTAAAACTTGATTTGCTCTAACTTCTTTCATATACAAAATAGGGGTATGAGCAGGGGCGGTTCTCCCATATAGGCAAGGTAGGCAGTGCCTACATTGCCGTCTCCCCTGCGTCTAAATCATCACTATATCGTGGCTTTTGTTTGCTTGATTGCTTTTGTCAAAAATCTTTTGTTTCTCGTTTTCAAAATGCGTTGAAACGAAAGAGAATTTCCTTAACTTTTCAAAAACCGTCACATAAAGATCGTACTACAAGAACCTTGACGAAAACTTTTGCCTAAGTTGTGCCTACCTCGTCCTACTAGATTATCGACTATTGCCATGCTGAGGCTATTGAGTCTTTTGGTAGAAAAGGTCTAGATGGTCGGCACATCGACTAGGTGCTACCTTCTAACTCTCAAACCTAACTTTTTAATATGTCCATTTATCGT